CAGTGGTCGCAAACTCGGATGCGGTTAGAAGCCAGCTCGGTCTCGTAAGTCAGCTGGCTCAGTGAGACTGTAGGGGAAGGGGCCAGCAGAAGAGCACAGGCTTCTTCCATAGTGGCCACTGCTCCTTGCTCCAGAGAATGGGCTCTTATTGTACTGGAACATGGCCTACAAGCTCTGGATCTTGTGGCTTTTTTTTTTTTTTTTCTTTTTTTTAAATAAGAGGAGCTGGAAATTAATGTTATTTTTGCAGCATTCATTGGCAACTAATTCAAAATTAAAAGCAAAAGTAAAACAAAACACTGTTGGCCATATATAACACGTGTGGGTCAGTACACTCTGTAGACCACCAGTGGGTGAGCTGAAGCTAGCTCAGTTAAGCGTTACTGTATTTATTATTTTCTAAGATTGAGTTTATAAGAAAAACTAAATTGAAGTATCATTACCTTTTTTTAATGACTGAAAGCAGTTTAATATGAAGGTGTTGCGGAAGTTCTGACATTTAGTTAAAATAGCATTGTCCGTATAAAACAACAGTTTTTAAAGTGAGGAAGGAAAAGAGCAAAAACATCAAAATAGTATACACTTTTTTTTTTTGAGATGAGGTTTTGCTTTGTCACCCAGGCTGGAGTGCTGTGGCGCAATCTCGGCTCACTGCAACCTCTGCCTCTTGGGCGGGTTCAAGTGATATTCAGCCTCCTGAGTAGCTGGGACCACAGATGCATGCTGCCACACCCAGCTACTTTTTTGTATTTTTGGCAGAGATGGGGTTTCACCATGTTGCCCAGGCTGGTCTCAAACTCCTGAGCTCAAGTGATCTGCCTGCCTCAGCTTCCTAAAGTGCTGGGATTACAGGCCTGAGCCACCACGCCCACCCCTAGGATATACTTTTTATTTGGTTGTAAAAAGTATGTGGTAGTTAAAAGAATAGATTTGGGGTTTAATGAATCCTAAGTTAGCCACCTACTGGCCTTATGATTTTAAGCAAGTTTTAACTCTCTGAGCCTCTGTTTCCTCATCTAGCAAATGAACATAATAACTCTTGCCTCATAGAGTTGTAAGAAGTTGAGGTGAGATGTGCAGCTCTTAGTGCAGTACTAGAGACAAGTTGAAGTGCTTGCAGTCTCTGAAATCCTTGGAGAAACACTCGGCCTTTACTGCTGTGTCAGTGCTTGTGGAAATGGTAGGGTGGAGGCTGAGATTGTAGCTGAATCTCCATTGCCTGCATCTGGTATTGTCATGCTCTTGAGATAGGATGGAGGTTGAGAATGTAGTGGAATCTCCATTGCTTGCATCTGGTAGTGGCGTGCTCATGCTGCTTCGGCATATCCTCGCTTGTGTTTTCTTCCAGTCTCAAGATTTCTCTGTCTCTGTGATTTTTATAGTGAGGTATAACAAAGTCACTTCCATACATATCGTGTTTGACATGACATGATAGCTTAAAATGGAGGTGGGGAACAGGTTGAGTGAAGGTCCTGCAGATATTACTGGCAGCAATATTTTCTTTTTATTTTATTTTATTTATTTTTTGAGACAGAGTCTCACACTGTCACCCAGGCTGGAGTGCAGCAGCATGATCTTGGCTCACTGCAACCTCTGCCTCCCGGGTTCAAGTGATTTTCTTGCCACAGCCTCCCAAGTAGCTGGGATTATAGGCACCTGCCACCACGCCTGGCTCATTTTTGTATTTTTAGTAGAGATGGGGTTTAACCATGCTGGCCGGGCTGTTCTTGAACTCCTGACCTCAGGGGATCCACCTACCTTAGCTTCCCAAAGTGCTGGGATTAAAGGCATGAGCCACCACGACCACCCTCTTTTTTTTTTTTTTTTTTTTTTTTTTTGAGATAAGGTCTTGCTCTGTTGCCTAGGACAGAGTGCAATGGCATGATCTCGGCTCACTGCAGCCTTGGCCTCCTGGGCCCAAACTATCCTCCCACCTCAGCCTCTTGAGTGGCTGGGATCAGTGGCTTGTGCCAGCATGCTCAGCTAATTTTTTTTTTTGATAGAGTTGAGGTTTCACCATGTTGTCCAGGCTGGTCTCAAACTACAGGGCTCAAGTGATCCTTCTGCTTTAGCCTCCTGAGTAGCCAGCATCACAGGCACCTGCTGTTGCTTCTGGCTATCTATCTATCCATCTATCTATCTTGAGACAGAGTCTCACTCTGTCGTCCAGACTAGAGTGCCGTGGCACGATCTCGACTCATTACAAGCTCCGCCTCCCAGGTTCAAGTAATTCTGCCTCAGCCTCCCAAATAGCTAGAATTACAGGCGTAGGTCACCACTCTCAGCTACTTTTTGTGTTTTCAGTAGAGATGAGGTTTTGCCATGTTGGCCAGGCTGATCTCAAACTGTTAACCTCAGCCGATCCACCTGTCTTGGTCTCCCAAAGTGCTGGAATTACTCATGTGAGCCACCATGCTCAACTGATGCTGTTTTTTTTTTTTTTCCTTCTTTTATTTTTATTATTGGTTCAGTGTCCCTGAAAAGATGCTGTTGTTATTGTTTAAAAGAGTGTTCAAAACCTGTTTTTCATGGCATTGTATCATCAAGTGAAATGATGATGCAAAGGTTAAAAAAAAGAGTAAAGGAATGTGTACTGTTTATATGGGGAAAAAGTGCCATCAGGTTGCAATTGAAACATTTTCTAAAAAAAAAAAACCAACCTAGAAAACCGGTATTGTGTTGGACTAAGTGAGTATAAATGAAACACTTAGCAGTGAGCTTCATGCTGGATCAATTAGAAAAAGCATACTTTAAAATTTAAACTTTATTGAAGTATAATATACATGCTAAAAATTACTCATTATAATCAAACAACTCAGTACATTTCCAGAATGTAGACACACTCATGCAGCCGGCAGGAAATGAGGCAGAACCATTACCAAGCCCCTCCAGAAGCACCCTAAGCCTCACCTTCCCTCAAGTGACAGGAAAGCTCCTTTCTCCTGAGAGTAGTCACTGTCTTCACCTCTGTCACCACAGATGATTCCACCGCATTCAAGTTTGTTTTACATGAATATGGCTGTGATTCACATTCATTATTTTATGTGGCAGGAATTGTGTGTTCATTTTCCCTCATCCTCTCCCTTCCGGGTCCTGCTCCACTGAAGATTCTGCCAGAGAATTAAGACCAGTGTGCTAAGGCGTCCATTGTATGTAGTTGAATAAATTTCTCCTGTGCCTCTAGGATGGTGGTCGTCATGTATCATCCTTGAGAGAACTGAGAAAACAGATACTTAAGACATTTTCAGTGGATTTAATTCTCTCAGATAATTCCAAGAAAGGCTGGGAGACTTAGCTTTTCTGCCTTTTACCATTGACCCACTCTTGTGGATTCCAGGAGATGACCTCTGTTATCCTATCTGGCTTTTCCAATTGTTCTCTCTGAGAATGTTGGTTTGCTGCAAGCCACTCCAGCCCACCAGGGAGTGGAAGTTTTCAAACATGTTTTCACCACATAGCTGAGGTCCTAAGAAAATAAGGGAAATTCCCAGGGGCCCAAAAAAGGGAAGAAGGAGCTGAAACTCCAGTGGGCAAAAGAACAGGGAAGCCAGGGCTGCCCTGTGTTGCTGCAGAGACTTTTAAGCCCAGAGTCCTGGGTTTTAACAGATGTTGAGGGGAAACACGGACCGTAGCCTTAGGCCTGAGCAGGGAGGCAACTCGGAACTGTGTCCCTCTGTGTCTCAGCCCATCATCTAGGACCGTCAAAAAGCTATATTCCTGGAATGCAAGAGTGGGCAGGAAAGAAAATCCTGCTAGTCATAGTGCAGTGTGGTAGAGCTCTGTGTGGGAGGGGAGGGGATTTGGTTTATACTGTTTCTGCCGAAGATCTGCTTCACAGCCTCTCCTCACAGGCCTTTGGTGTTTGCTATTAGACTACCAGTGATGTCCAGGAAACCTCAAATCTAGAAATGAAAAGTTACCCTTCACACAAAGAATCAAACTGCAAACTTACGGAAGGTGTTGCAGTTTAGCCAAATCTCAAAATGAAACTCAATTTTTTTTTACTTTTTTTTTTTTTAAGACGAGGTTTCACCATTTTGGTCAGGCTGGTCTTGAACCCCTGACCTGAGGTGATCTGCCTGCCTTGGCCTCCAAAATGCTTGGATTACAGGCGTGAGCCACCATGCCTGGCCCGAAACTCAATTTTTACACAACATAAAGTGTATTTATGGAAGCCTAGTTTTAGAAGTGTTCACTGACCCCACTATTCTATCGGTCCTGCAGTGTACTGAGTTAGTTGAGATTGGAGTCATGATATTGAGACAGCATCAGGCAGATGGGATAGGCATCTGCCTGTGTGATGCAGTCTCACCAAACCTTAGGATTTTCCTGTATCCAAAAGACTCTGTCTCCATGTCGCTGTTTCCTATTCCTGTGATTCCTCTTGCATAAGGCTTTGTTCCCTGAAAACCCATCATATACGGTATCATTTTTAGGTATAAATTCACCTTTTTAAATAATTGAATTATTGCTTAGTATGTCAATGTGCAGATCCCATTTGTCACCCTGCAGGGAGGAGCCAGGTACATACAGATTGATAAGAGGATTTATATAAATGAGTGTATCCTTGGAGCAGCTTCAGCTACTCCCTTTCTTCCTCCCCACCCCTCAGCATGTTTTGAGTGCCTACTAGATGCCAGGCATTGTACTATCAGGAAGGATATGGGAATGACAAAAACATGGTTCCTCCTGCCCTGGAATTCACATTCCAGCCAACCTCTGAGTTTGCTCCTAGAACACATACCAGTGCATTGGAGTGAATTTGAATCCATTCAGTACTTCCTTCTGCAGAAACTGTTAATATCTTGTGGATTTCCGAGGAGTTGTCTTCAGCTTTTGGAGAAAGGCATGTTACCACAGCTGTGTATGTTACTGAGCATATGGAAACGTTGGCTGGCTAGCAGGAAATGACATATCACAGTTTTTCAAGAAAACGAATAGGTTAAGTTATGAAAAGCAGTTTTCCATATTACTGATTCCACCACTTCACGTCTCTTTAGGACGATGTGAGGCATAAGGTTCATCTGAACACCTTTGGATTCTTCAAGCATGGCTATATGGTGGTTAACGTCAGTAGCCTCTCAGTGAATGAGCCTGAAGACAAGGGTGTGACTGTAAGTACCTTTTAATGAGATCCACGGGTTTACTCTTTTAGCCTGGGTGAGAGCCACCTTCCAACCCCAGTGCTTAAATATAAAGTGTCAGAATATGGAGATAATGAAGCTTGTGAGTAGCAAATTATATGTCAGGCATCAAATAATTTCACATTTATCACTTAAGATGTAATGCTGTAATAATTCCAGTAATTACTGACTTGACTTGAGTGATTTTAGTTTGCCTTCTTACAAAATGAATGCTAAGAAAACTGAGAGGAAACCACGTCAGAAGTACCACCTTTTCTACTTTTTGAGTAAGAAAAGTATGGACAATTGTGTGGATATTTACTTCTCTTTTTACTCCCTGTTAGATTGGATTTAGCCTAGACCGTACAAAGAATGATGGCTTTTCGTCTTACCTGGTGAGTATTAAACGTGTGACCTGGTCTGGGTCTTTATTTGAACTCAGGCCATTGAGTGGGAACACCCGAACTCTCTGTAGTGCCATTTTTGGTTTTTTGAAGTACAGTAGCACGATCACCTTACTGCAACCTTGACCTCTCAGGCCCAAGCGATCCTCCTGCCTCAGTCCCCTGAGTACCTAGGACTACAGGCATGCACCACCATGCCTGCCTAATTTTTATATTTTCAGTAGAGACAGGGTTTCACACTTTCTTGGCTATGTCTCAAACTCCTGGACTCAAGTGATCAGCCCACCTCGGCTTACCAAAGTGCTAGGATTGCAGGCGTGAGGCATCATGCCCGGCCACAGCGCCATTTTTTTTTTTTTTTTTTTTGAGATGGAGTCTCGCTCTGTCACCCAGGCTGGAGTGTAATGACATGATCTCAGCTCACTGCAACCTCTGCCTCCCGGGTTCAAGCGATTCTCCTGCCTCAGCCTCCTGAGTATCTGGGGCTACAGGTGCCTGCCACCACACCCGGCTAATATTTGCATTTTTAGTAGATAGGGGTTTCACCATGTTGGCCAGGATGGTCTCGATCTCCTGACCTCATGATCCACCCGCCTCAGCCTCCCAAAGTGCTGGGATTACAAGCGTGAGCCACCGGGCCCGACGGTTTACTATTTTGAATGGAGTTTGAGCCACTCATTTGCTATGTTCCTGAAAACTTTGTTCTTGTTCTAGCGTGAATGAATAAGATGATGTAAAATTGGCTCTTCCTTTCTCAGGATGAAGATGTAAATTACTGTATTTTAAAGAAAGAGTCTGTCTCGGTCACCCTTCTAATCCTAGACATCTCCAGAAGTGAGTAAGTAATTCCAAAGTTCCTTCAGTTCAGTTCCACAGTAGAGTTGGGGAGAATTTAGTAGTACGCTAACTTTCCTTGGGTGTCTGCCATGTGCCAAAAACCATGCTGAGTGCTGGAGATTAAAGACAAGGCTAGGGAGACAGAGGTCCTGTCCTTGATGGGGGAGACAGAATGGCACTACACACAATTACAGCCAAATAAAGGAGCAGAAGGGAAGAAGAACTCATGAATTGTAGAAAGGAAGGAAAGGCTGCAGATAAGTGTTGGCCCTGAACTTTTAAAATATTCTCCATGATAACCTCTGTTTTCATTTTAAAAAATTGATCTGGTAGTTTCCTATATTAGGTAGGCTGCTTTTGGCAGCAAGCAACAAAAGACTTGACTTAGACTCTGGCATATGTATTGAAGACATTGATAACCTCACCTGTCTTCAGTGGGGCAGGCGAGAGACAGGCTGCAGTGGCTTGCTGACTCTGGTTAAGGACTCTGGTGCGTTTCATCTCTCTGCTCTGCCATCCTGGGTGTTAGCTTCTTCCTCAGGCAGGTTTCCCAGCCATCACCAGGTGGCTCTGTTCTGTCAGCCATATCCAGCCAAGGGACAGAGAGCAGGCTCCTCTCGTAGTTAGAATGAGAAGTGCTTGAATGTGCCAGCTTAGATTGGGCATCCACTCAGGCATGGGAACTGTCACTGGCCCCTCTGGGGTGGGGTGGAGTGGAGTAAACAAAATCGGGTCTCATTAGAAGCCGGAAGGGTGGAAATGGATATTAGGCAGCAACTAACGGTGCCACTGCCCTCTCGTGCTTCCTGGGATTTCACTTTATTTATTTTTATTTTTATTTTTGTTTTTATTTTTTGAGACAGAGTCTCTCTTGCTTTGTGGCCCAGGCTGGAGTACAGTGGTGTGGTCTTGGCTTACTGCAACTTCACCTCCCGTGTTCAAGCGATTCTCCTGCCTTAGGCTCCCGAGTAGCTGGAACTATAGGCACATGCTAACATGCCCGAACAATTTTTTTGTAATTTTAATAGAAACAGGGTTTCACCATGTTGACCAGGTTGATCTCAAACTCCTGACCTCCAGTGGTCCACCCGCCTTAGCCTCCCAAAGTGCTGGGATTACAGGTGTGAGCCACAGTGCCCGGCCTGGATTTCACTTTAAAGTCTTACTGGTGTTTTATGTTTCGTTCTGTTTCTCTTGTGCACCAATTTGCTGAGCATTTTAAGGATACTTGAGGGAAAAGATGTACCTCAGATTTATGTGGTTGCTAAGATCTTAGGCCTAAGAGAGACTACCTGGATCCTCGCCCAGCTACTTCCTATAGGTGCTCTTGGCCAAGTTATTTAACTTTTCTGAGCCTCGGTTTCAGTATTGCAGAATGTGGATAATAGAATCTGTGTTGTAGAACATCATAGGGACTGCATGAGCTTGGCAGAGGGCCTGCATCCAGCATGTTCAGTGGCCAGGAGCACTGCTTTGACCCTTTTTCCTTCTGTCTCGTTTGAATGTAGGGTAACAATAAAGTCTCCACCAGAAGCTGGTACGCAGTTACCAAAAATCATCTTCAGCAGGGATGAGAAGGTCCTTGGTCAGAGCCAGGAGCCTAATGTGAACCCTGTTTCAGCAGGCAGCCAGACCCAGAAGACACAAGGTAAACCGTAAGGTGGAAACTGGCTTTTAATTTTCACTACCTGCTTCATAGAAGCTTTTTTTGTTCCTAAGCAAAACATGATCTGTTGTCCTAGCATTATATTTTGGAAGTCATACAAAAATATATAAACGTTAAAGAAAAATGTGGAAAATGTGAAGCAGATGGAAAAACAGCAGTCATTTTTCCTTATTCCCAGTGTTAAGAGTTTTAGTGATTTATGTTTTCATATAAGCTTGTTTCATAAGTCTAGAAGATTTGATTTTTGAAATTCAGTCATGCTTACAATTTATATGCATGCCTGATGACTTTTTAGCTCATTTCATACCTATCATCTATCCTGCTAAGTGGATACTGTAATTTGCTCAATCTTTCCTCTTAAGGAGACACATTTCCATTTTTGTGTGATTATGAATGTTGTTGCAGTGGACTTCTTTATGCATAGAACTCTTTTCATGTATAGAACGTTCTTTATGATGGTTTTCAGAATTGGAATTTCTGGTTCAAAGGATATGAATGCTTTCGAAAATATTGATATGTATATTTTTAAATTCCTTTCCAAGTGAGTTGTGTGGATTTATATTCTTACTGGATATATGTAGGAATAGTGTGCACATTATTATATCCTAGCCAATATGGGGTATTTTCTTTTTTTTTTTTTTTTTTTGAGATGGAGTTTCGCTCTTGTTACCCAGGCTGGAGTGCAATGGCGCGATCTCGGCTCACCGCAACCTCCGCCTCCTGGGTTCAGGCAATTCTCCTGTCTCAGCCTCCTGAGAAGCTGGAATTACAGGCACACGCCACCATGCCCAGCTGAATTTTTGTATTTTTAGTAGAGACGGGCTTTCACCATGTTGACCAGGATGGTCTCGATCTCTTGCCCTCGTGATCCACCCGCCTCGGCCTCCCAAAGTGCTGGGATTAAAGGCGTGAGCCACCGCGCCCGGCCCGGGGTATTTTCTTTTAAAAAAAAAAAATCCTAAAATGACAGGCAAAAAAGATATTCCTATATGTGTGTGTGTGTGTGTGCACGCATGTGTGTATGTATATATATACATACACATATACACTTTTGTTTTTTTTTTTTGAAGTGGAGTCTCATTCTGTCACCCAGGCTGGAGTGTAGTGTCTCAATCTTGGCTCACTTCAACCTCCGCCTCTGAGGTTCAAGTGATTCTCCTGCCTCAGCCTCCCTAGTAGCTGGCACTGCAGGCATGAGCCACCACGCCTGGCTAATTTTCGTATTTTCAGTAGAGACGAGATTTCACCATATTGGTCAGGCTGGTCTTGAACGCCTGACCTCATGATCCACCCGCCTCAGCCTCCCAAAATGCTGGGATTATAGGCGTTAGTCACTGTGCCTGGCCACTGTTTTTTTATTTTCTCTTATTATCGACGCTGCACTTTTTCTCCATGTGTTGATTAACCAATTTATTTTTATCACTTTTTTTTTATTATTAACTGTCAAGTTCATCTGATGATTCATGTGAGTTCGTAAGATAATTTATGGCCAGGTGCAGTGACTCACACTTGTAATCCTAGCACTTTGGGAGGCCAAAGTGGGAGGAGTGTTTGAGGCTAGGAGCTTGGTACCAGGCTGAGCAACATAGCGAGGCCTTGTCTCTGCAAAAATAAAAATAAAAAAATTAGCCACGAGTGGTGGCATGTGTCTATAGTCACAACTCCTCAGGAGACTGAGGCAGGAGGATGGCTCAAGCCTGACTGTTCTGGCTACGTTGAGCCATGATGCACTGCAGGCTGTGTGACAGAACAAGACCCTGTCTCTGAAATACATACATACATACATACTACGTAGACAATTTTTTTCTCAATTTGTTAGTCCATTGCATTGCTGTAAAGGAATACCTGAGACTGGGCCATTTATAAAGAAAAGAGGCTGGGCTTGGTGGCTCATGTCTGTAATCCCAGCACTTTGGCAGGCTAAGGCAGGCAGATTACTTGAGGTCAAGAGTTCAAGACCAACCTGGCCAACATGGTATAACCCGTCTATACTGTAAATACAAAAGCCAGATGTGGTGGCACATACCTGTAGTCCGAACTACTGGTGATACTGAGGCAGGAGAATGTCTTCAACCCAGGGAGGTGGAGGCTGCAGTGAGCCGAGATTGTGCCACTGCACTCCAGCCTGGGTGACACAGTAAGAGCCAGTCTCAAAAACAACCACCACCACCAGCAAAAAACAAATGAACAAAAACAAAAGAAGAGGTTTAATTGGCTCACAGTTCTGCAGGCTGTACAAAGCATGGTGCAAACATCTACTCCCGGTGGGGGCCTCAGGAAGCTTCTAATTATGGCAGAAGGTGAAGGGGGAGCAGGCAGGTCACATGGCAAGAGCAGGAGTAGGAGTGGGGAGGTGCCACACTCTTAAACAACCACATCTTACATGAACTCAGAGCAAGAACTCACTCCTAGGCCGGGCGCGGTGGCTCAAGCCTGTAATCCCAGCACTGTGGGAGGCCGAGGTGGGTGGATCACGAGGTCAAGAGATCGAGACCATCCTGGTCAACATGGTGAAACCCCGTCTCTACTAAAACTACAAAAAATTAGCTGGGCATGGTGGTGCGTGCCTGTAATCCCAGCAACTCAGGAGGCTGGGGCAGGAGAATTGCCTGAACCCGGGAGGCGGAGGTTGCAGTGAGCCGAGATCGTGCCATTGCACTCCAGCCTGGGTAACAAGAGTGAAACTCCGTCTCAGGAAAAAAAAAAAAAAAAAAAAAGAACTCACTCCTTACCACAAGGAGGGCACCAAGCCATTCATGAGGGATATGTCCTCATGACCCAGATACTTCATGCTAGGCCTCACTTCCAACATTGAGGATTACAGTTCAACATGAGATCTGGAGGGGACAGACATCCAAACTGTGTATCACTCAGTCTGTCCAACTTGACCACGGTTAAAAGCCATACAGAAAGACTCCATTTGGCTGGGTGTGGTGGCTCATGCCTGTAATCCCAGCATTTGGGAGGCCGAGTCGGGTGGATCGTGAGGTGAAGAGATAGAGACCATCCTGCCCAACGTGGTGAAACCTTGTCTCTACCAAAATACAGAAAAATTAGCTGGACGTGGTGGTGTGCACCTGTAGTCCCAGCTACCCAGGAACCTGAGGCAGGAGAATCACTTGAACCTGGGAGGCAGAGGTTGCAGTGAGCCGAGATCATACCACTGCACTCCAGCCTGGTGACAGAGTGAGACTCCATCTCAAAAGAAAAAAAAAAAAAAAAAGACTGCGTTTGTGCGATGGTGTAGGTTAATGCCTGTGAACCATCTCCTTCTTGTCTAGGTTCTTTGTGTTCATATCACCATTCCTGGGAAGAAAATATTATTTTGTTTCTTTTTATTTTCTCCCTTCCTGCAGGGAGCTTGAAGAGCAGTCTTTCCACAAAGATCATCTTAAGTGAAAACAAGAATTTCTGTTCCATGAAAGGAGCCATTAGCAATCATACTTCTTGCTGTAGGGAAGAAAGTGTTATTATGCTAGGATTACTTGCTATTAACTTTTCCAAGTTTGTGAATGTCTTTCATAGCTTTTCTTTTTTTTCTTTTTTTCTGTCACCTGGGCTGGAATGCAGTAGTCTTGGCTCACTGCAACCTCTGCCTTCTGGGTTCAAGGGATTCTCCTGTGTCAGCCTCCCACATAGCTGAGATTACAGGTGCATGCCACCACGCCTGACTAATTTTTGTATTTTTAGTAGAGACGGGGGTTTGCTATGTTGGCCAGGCTGGTCTCGAACTCCTGACCTCAGGTGATCCATCTGCCTCGGCCTCCCAAAGTGCTGGGATTACAGGGGTGAGCCACTGCTCGGCCTTTTTCTTAAAAATTATGTTTTCCAATGTGATTATTTAGACAATTAGGAAAGTCATTCCATGTGGCTTCTCTGGCAGTAACATACACTAGAATATCCAGAACTGAATTCTGTTGTTAATATCACTAGTTACTCCATACCATTTATAATATAACAAGGTCTGATTTGCTGCTTCAACAATACACATATTATGTTTTGGGACCTGAGAAAATGGCAGTCCCCAAGATTATTTTAATTATTTGATATTAGATAAGCTGCAGCCACATAAAATGATAGTTATGTATATGCGTCTCTGTAAGTGGAGTTATGCAGTGCTATCTTTTAAATGTTTCTGCTTCTAGACAGTGGAAAGCCTAAAAGAAGTACAGTGGATTCAAAGGTAAGAACTAATCACCCTCTTGTGCTCAGCTTTCCTGGATATTGTGTACATGTGTGTGTTGTATACGTGTGTGTGTATTGATGTATATCCATACATGCATTCACACACAAATACATATACAGTTGTCCCTCGGTATCCACAGGGGATTGGTTCAGGAACCCTAGTGAATATCAAAATCAGTACATGCTCATGTCTCTTACATAAAATGGCATAGTATTTACACAAACACACATCCTCCTGTGTACTTTAAAACATCTCTGGATTACTTATGATACCTAACACAATGTAAATGCTGTGTAAATAGTTGTTATACTGTGTTGAGGTTTTTTGTTTTTTTGAGACAGAGTCTCTCTGTCATCTAGGCTGGAGTGCAATGACGTGGTCTCAGCTCACTGCAACCTCTGCCTTCTAAGTTCAAGCGATTTTCCTGCCTCAGCCTCCTGAGTAGCTAGGACTATAGGCATGCATCACCACACCTAGCTAATTTTTTTGTATTTTTAGTAGAACGGGGTTTCACCATGTTGGCGAGGCTGGTCTTGAACTACTGACTTCAGGTGATCTGCCCACCTCGGCCTCCCAAAGTACTGGGATTATAAGTATGAGCCACCATGCCTGGCTGATTTTTTTATTTGTATTATTTATTACTGTTACTTTTTAATCTTTTTTAAAAAAATATTTTTGGTTGGCAGTTTGTTTAATCTGCAGATGTGGAACCTGCAATACAGAGAGGTAACCATATATATATATATACACACACATATTTGCAGGGGTCCAGGTGCAGTGGTTCATGCCTGTAATCCCAGCACTTTGGAAGGCTGAGGCAGGGGGACCACTGGAGGTCAGGAGTTCAAGACCAGCCTGGCCAACATGGTGAAACCCTGTCTCTATTAAAA